GCCTTCGGGATAAAAGTAAATATCCAAGATTCTCTTCCCCATTGCCTGAGTCCAGCTGACTCTTTCCTTTGTCTCCATTATAAACTGTGCAGAGGGGTCACCAGGATATATTGCCATCGGTCCCTGAGAATCCTCTTGTAAAGACCATCCCATCATATTTTAGATCCAAGAGGAGAGCAATTCTATGGCAGCTTGGCTCACTGGTAGACACCCTCCAAAACTGGCATGCTCAGTGCTGCTGTTTCAGGACTGGGGGAGAGTGATTTCATGTCCCAGGGCCCTAAGACTTATGTGGACCAGTACATGTAGCAGCGTTTATTCTGCCTCTGAAGAGGAACAGCCTTCAGCTTTCTGGAGAGTGTGAGACCTGTGCTTGCAGTGCAGCCACCTCTGGGCTGCCTTCTCTGGAGTCCAGAGCATGGGTGCTCACTAGCACTTCAAAGTGTTTCTCAAAGCAGTTTGGCTCTATTTGTAGTTACTTTAAAGATGTTGAGAGCACTGTATGATGTATTGTCTTGTATTTTTTTTTATGAGAACCTACAGAACATTTCCCCCTCTTATCTTGGGCTAGAAATCATTGGAATTCTGGTAAACTGTGATTTCTGCATCTTCCTTTGTATATATTTCTGAGTTGGTGCCCCATAACCCAGTTGTTTTGAAGATTACTTACAGCAAATGTATAGACATGCAGTGTGTGTGTGTGTGTGTGTGTGTGTGTGTGTGTGTGTGTCTTTCTGGGCTTTAGCTCACTGTTTTCTGCCTTTTATCCAAATCTACTCTGATCTGGCCTGTCTTGACTTGTGTCTTGAATTTTTGGCATCAATCTTGAGGAGTTAGTTGGACCCTAAATTCACCTTTAAGCGCATATAAGTAAATTGATAGCTAAGAAACGAAATATTTGTGTGAAGAAATATAACTCAAAATTATTTCCCAGTGCCATAGTTTAAGGAAATGTGTAAAGGAAAACTTCATTTTCCTGGGTTTGAGCCTTTCTTCCTGGTAGCTTAAATAATGGCATAAAACTTAAGGAAACAACTTTTGAAAGAAAAACAAATATGAAAATGGCTTATAGACCAAGGTGACCCAACCGTCAATGATCTAATCTCTTATGCACAGTGTTGCTTTCATTTGGCACTGGGGATCAGGTCAGGCCTTCAAATTAAGGTCTGTGTGAGGTCATGTTGTAGTGACAGTCTCTGTTGCTAATCACAGTCACAAGATCTGTGTGGGACCGTTGTGACCAGAAGCAAGCTTTTATTTAAATAGTTATGCACTTATTTTTATTTATTTTATCCAAAAGGAATATTTATAATTCAGATGAATTCTTTTTTAACCCAATGTGATTTCAGAAGATTTTAAATCAATAAGGCATACACATGCATACAACGGGGGAATTAACCAAAATATCTGAGTTCTCTTAAAAAAACGGAAGAAGTTGTTACAGAGAGTTAAGTGTGCCAGAAACACAAGAAAGTATGCTCTGCCCCCTCACCAACCCCACATGGTGCCAACAGAAACTGCTAGACAAACTAGTAAATGTGGGGATTTATTGGCAGAAAGACACCTGAAATGTGGGCACAGAGCTTGCTCGGAGAGACATGGTTTCCATCCAAATGCCATCCACAATCTGACTGCTGCATACTGCCCTTGGTGGCAGAACATGAACATAGCTGGAGCCGAAGGTACCAACCTCCTGATTAGTGTTTGATTGACACATATTGCGACATAGTGACATTGTGGTAAGAATTCTAAGAAATGGGTACTGAGGAGCAGGGGGAGGACTACTTTCCTAGTATGCGCAAGGTCCCATGATCGATTCCCCAGTTCTATAAAAATAATAAGAAGAAATGCACTCTGGGAAAGTATATCATTTTGTCATGCATTTGGCTGATACAATTTGATTATAAGCATAGTATTGAATTAACCATTTCATTAACTAATTAAGCTGAATTAACAATTCATAGTATGAGTTGATTTTATCAGTGTGTAACATCTATCTCTTCTGTCCCTCTCTCTCTCTCTCTCTCTCTCTCTCTCTCTCTCTCTCTCTCCTCTCTCTCTCTAGTCAGAGGCTGCTTATTCCTTCCTGACCACCCAGACCTGAAATAATCATACAGAAACTATATTAATTACAATATTGTTTGGCCAATAGCTTAAGTGTATTTCTAGCTAGCTCTTACATCTTAAATTAACCAATTCCTCTTAGTTTTTATTTTACCATGAGACTTGTGGTTTACCGGCACCAATGCGCAGGTGTCTGTCTCCTTTGGCAGTTACATGGTGTCTCCCTGACTCTGCCTACTTTCTCTATATATCAGATTTCCCACCTGGCTATACTGTGCCCTGCTATAGGTCTAAAGCAAATTCTTTATTAACCAATGGTGATAAAACACATTCACAGCATACATCACCTCTTCTTTTCTGTCTAAATAAAAAAGAAGGTTTTAACTTTAACATAGTAAAATTACATATATCAAAAAGGTATCAAGCAAGAATTACAGTTATAGTATTTATAATACTTTATCTTTTAGCATAACTAAGGAAAACTATAATTATCACTATCTATTCTTCAACTCCATCAAAGACCCCAGAAGTATATAATTCCTAAATAAACAGGAAATGCATTGTAAGCAACCTCGAAAACTCTAGATTTGACAGAGGCATCTCGCTGCCTGGACAGTTACCCAAAGTTCTGTATTGTTGCAGTATCTGTCTTCAGCCTACAGGCCCATTGTATCTGGCAGACGTTTCTATGTAGCAGGAAATTTGAAGATCTCTTATGCCTTGTACTGGCAAAATTTATCAGTTGCTTTCTTCTGTGCCCTGGAAAATGTCTGACAGTTCTCTCATGAAGCAGAACCCTGAAGGACTGTCTCACCTTCTTTAGGCAAGTTCAGCAGTCATTTTCTGTGGGTTCTGCATGTCCAGTTCACACAGCATACCATCAAGCAGTACAGGCAAGAGCAGCTTCTTGCCCAGATGACTAACAAACTGCATAAGGAGCCTCTTCAATGCCCATCTTCCTCTTGGAGTAGACTGGTGCTGCAAGGAGCAGATGAGACTCATTATCTTGAAAAGTCAAGTTCTTAAAACATTTTAAATTCCATATTCTGTTAGTTTTTAAAGGTTTGAAGTATAACTATCCATCTGAAATATATCTCTGTACATCTAGAAAACCTAACTAACATGATTACAAGTGTGACTATTATAGATGACCATCTATGGGTCTGTATTTCTTAGCTATACTGCATTTTAAATGAGCTGCACAAACACAATACCTTAAACAAGAGCAAAAATACATATAACAGAATTGACCTTAAATTTGTATCAATACACCAAGATCCGTACCAAAGCAAAGTATTCATCTCTATTGCATATTGCCCTTTAAATGTAAACAAACATTTATAAACAATATTTGTAAATTTGGGTGTAGTTCTTTCTAAACTGCTTCCTCCTTTTTGTTAGGTGAAGTAATTTTGTGGTTCGTGGAGACTTTTCAGGGGATCTTGGTCCATCAAACCACATTAGCGTGGAAGGAATCTGCAGGTTCTCATCCTCTGTGGAAACAAAAGCAGAACCTCTTTTCCAAAGCAACATATCCTTAGACCCAAATTTTGAAGTCAAGAGGTTTAGCTTAGCAGCCCATACATTGAAATGTCTCTCTGTACTGAGCTCATTCACAGTAAAAAAAAAAAAAATCAAAGAAAAACACAATAATACACATAATCCAGATTCTCTGTGTATTTTCCATCTTTACGTGGCTTATTTTTCTTTACTTTTTTAATCTATGACTATACTATTTTATATTATTTTACTGTCTCTTTAAAGACTTTACTTCTTTTTATAACTCTCTATACTCTTTTTCTTCTCTCTCCCAAGCCTATGTACATTTTTAAAAAACACACTGTGTCTCATTTAGAGGTCGTTTATTTCTGAATCTGTCCTTTGTGTATCTGTAATCCTTTTCTGCCCAGGAGTGCTTCTTAAAATGCTAAGTGGCATGGCTAGGACTCAGGCTGTTTTTCCTTTCGGCTCTGCCCAGTCCAACATGGGAGAGGTCTGTTTAGTGCCAGCTCTGTGAGCCATGCTCACAGCCCCATTTCCAGGCACACAGCAGGTCTGTGATGCCATTAAGCAAGTTGTAGCACTCTGTTCACAAACCCCATTGAAGTGCGAAGTCTCCTGAAAGAGCCAGAGCTGTTCATGCAACTACTACAGAACCAGGAGGCCATCATTTCGTTAAAAATCCATGTGGCTTTGTTTTTTGCTGCTAAAGCTGAATCAGGAAGAGCTCTCTCAAGGGAGCCATGGTGCTCCTACTTGCTGCCAGCAAAGAACCCATCTGGGAAAAAACGTGGCTACCAAGAAGCAGCACTAAACTCTGTTTTTTCTATGTCTAGAATTTCTTCCCAAACTCTCTCAGTTTTTATGTGGATGTAGTTGCCCATGTTGGTGCCAATTTGTAGTTGGAGGCTGCTTGTTCGTTCCTGGTCTCTCAGACCTAAAACAATCACATAGAAATTATATTAAATGCAATACTGTTTCACCAATAGCTTAAGTGTGTTTCTAGCTAGCTCTTACATCTTAAATTGACCCATTTCTATTATTTTATATTTTACCACGATGCTCGTGGTTTACTGATACCAGCACATGGCTACATGGCATCTCCCTGACTCCACCTACTCTCTCTATATATCAGATTTCCTACATGGCTATATTATGCCCTGCTATAGGCCCAAAGCAGCTTCTTATTAACCAATGGTAATAAAACATATTCACAGCATACATCACCTCTCACATCATCTCTCTCTCTCTTTCTCTCTGTGTGTGTGCGTGTATGTATGTGTGTGTGTTTGTGTGTGTGTGTGTGTGTGTGTGTGTGAGAGAGAGAGAGAGAGAGAGAGAGAGAGAGAGAGAGAGAGAAGCATAAACAGATGGGTAATTATCTATGACCTGTTTGAGTTTCCATGTGGGTTTTAATTGCCTTTTTCTTTTCACAGTGTGTGGACAACATACGATGTAATGGTTTAATGACTATAGTCTTCGAAGAGAATTCCAAAGTCACTGTGCCGCATATGATTAAGTAAGTGCAACAGCCCTCTTCCTTCTGTCTGAATCAGGATCAGATGGGTAGAGAAGGAGAAACCATTAATAGAGTATCATCAGTAGGATTCTGCCTCTTCCAGAGAGGGTCCACCTTGTCAGTCATGGAATAATTCCTGTTAAATCATAACTAACAATAACTGATATGAAAATGCTTTTTCAGATTCACAGTCTACTGGCAGATAGCATTGAGATTTGTTTTCATACAATTAACATATACCCTTACCCAGGACAAAAATTCTGTCAAGATGCTCAAGTTCAATATTAAAAACTGCTCAAGGTCAGGGGGTGGATGAAGGTGTGGCTGGCTAATTTGGCATCATACCAGTGAGTATGAATCCTCTCCCTTAGATCTGGCTATAGAGCCAGGGTTAGGCATTGAACATACCCAATGGGCATCAGCTGGCATGAATGTGGCACTATCTGCTCACTGCATGTGCCTGGCTTTGCTCAGCGGTTATTGGCTTGGGCTGCTATCTTGTCTATATTTCAAGAAAGCAACTGTAGATTAAGTGGACCACTAGGAGGCCATAGTTTAGAATGGGGAGCTCTATCAATGACTCCCAGCTATGCATGCTAGAACTTTCTATATCAATGGTCTGTGTACTATGACATTTTGAAATTCAGAAATTAGGGAATTGCTTTTGTTCTCATTTTATTTTTGGTTATTTGTGTTCCATATTGTTTTCGTGTTTTAACTGTATGTGAATGGGTGTTTCTCTGCATGTATGTCTGTGCACCATGTGCATGTAGTACGCTTGGAGGCCAGAAGAGGGGGTCAGCTCCCCTGGGACTGGAGTTACAGATGCTTGTGGGCCACTATGTGGATGTTGGAAATTGAGCCCAGGTCAGTGCTCTTAACCACTGAAGCATCTCTACAGTCCCTTGTAGTCCACATTTTAAGAGTAGAATATTTTCTTTAAAAACAACTTGATTATATATTTTTAAGTTATTGGAAATAAGAACATTGTTTATTATTCTTTCTTGCTTGTCTATATGGATATTTTCAGGTCCGAGCTGTCATGCTGAGACAAATGACAGTGTTCCTATAGAAGGATGATCTTGCACTGCAGAGAAGTGATAGCATGGCCCCAGTGTGTAAGGACAGTTGTAGAACTTATTATTACATCACATGAAGGCAGAGAATGCAACACTATAAAAAACATTAAATAAAATAAAATTTGCAAATATTATCATGAATTTTAGTCAATTTTAAAATGTTTTGGGGAGGGCTGTGTTTAAATGCTATGGCATAGATTCTGTCTGCATTGAATTTCTTAGGTCTTTGACTTAGAAATTTCTTTTTGAATTAATTAAAATATCTGAATATTCAGAACAAGTATAGACTAAGCCAAGTTTAAACTATGTTTTATTTTTTTGAATAGAATTTCTTATTAATTTTTATAATAGGACTCTGATTTCACAAATAATATATATTTGAAAGTCCATGGTGCTTTAGAGTCATAATGGTAAGTCAGACACTGTAGGTAAGTTCAAAGCCCATGGAACCCAAGGCAACTGCATATCTACGCTGCACACATCGTGTTGACTTCCAAAGTTAATGGAAACCTCAGTTGTGTGTCTGACCCTCATGGTTGGTGATGCATGCATTTACTGTCCCCTACCATGACAATGGTTCCGTCCATTCTCATTAGCATAACCGCTTTCATACAGACCAAACTTTCTGACTTTGACTTCACAGAAGTGAAGGAGAAGGGAGAAGGACTTGACCTGCCAGGGCTTCCGCACCACACTGGCTATATTCCTAAGGCAAAGAGAAGGGGCACACCTTTATTTATTCCTTCTCTTATTGCCCAGTCTCACTGGTTCTCTTAAACCAGAGGAAAACATACCCTCAGGCTGTATTCTGCTTCCCTGTGCATCTGTCTCCATGGCTACATGCCACTGGAGAGGCAGGGGGAAATCAGCATTTTTCAGAGCTAAAAGGGAAAACATCCTAACAGCCACATCTTGTTACTGGCATGACGTCATTTCATAAGCACTCACTTCCTTTTAAAACTCATCGATTATAATGGGCGATTTGGCTTTGATCTCTCAAGATTGCTTTTCATGTGTTTACCAAAAAGGAGCTGCTCTTGCCATTGGAGGCTTAAGTAACACACTTGGCTTTCTTGAGAGACCCTCGGGAAATCATGGAAGAGCCTAGTCAGTGTAATGAAATAAAATTAAGTAATTTTATAATATTTAATTTCTTTTCTTAAAATGAAAATATAATCACAAATTTGAAGGACAGTGGTGTAATTAGTTTAACTTAATCTCATGCTGGCTGCAACACATTTTCCCCTCCTAGTGTTTTGAACAAACTAATTATAGTGAAAAAGAAGCGAAGCTCAGAACTAGTTAGAATGCAAAACACTGACAGCTAGTACATGGAATTTTCCTCTAAATGGTGCAGAGACTTAGTTTTTTTTTTTAAATAATATTTGACTTTCTTTGAAGATGGAGATTTTGATGGGAAAAAATGAGAGAAAAAATGGACCTTCTGCCTCAGCCACTGAGTTAATTCATAAAAGTCACCCAGGTCTTTTGACAAATGAGAACTCAAGAGCCAGAAAACTCTGCCCGAGGATCATTCAGTAAATGAATGAAAGAGCAGGGCTGGTTCTTAAAAGTAAACCTTCCAAGACCCACTAGGATATTTCCAACAGGCTACCGCTGGCCAGGTCCTCTGCAGAGGCAGGCTAGTCATTTAAAACGCTGCAGACAGAGGACTTTCACCTGCTCTATGCAGACTGTGTGCTAGAGCAAGCTATAAGACAGCTATTGCTTCTTGCTTATACCAAAGAAAATAAATAGATAATTTAAAATTTTTCAAAGCTTTAAAAGGCCTAAATAGGAACTCTCCTAACAAAGCCAGATGATTCTTAGCAAAAAGTTGGCTCTCAAAGACTCACTGGCCCCGCACATGACCTTTATCAGAACAGTGAAAGCCAAGACTCAGTTGTCCATTCTGATGCTGTTTTGAAGAGGAACAAGAGAGCTGGTAAGGAAGCGAAGAGAAAGAGGGTTCCAGTGGCCTCCTAGAGAGGCTGCCTGTGAGTGCCTCCTGCTGAGTCAGGGGCAGCAGAAGTCGGTACTAGACACTGTCCATTACTACTTTTTAAAAAAAAAATCCATTTCCTAGAGTGCAGAATATTGAAAACAGAATATAATTAAGCATGTCAATTTGTGAGTTAAATTGTGTTAAAAGTTTAAGCCTATGTATAAGTCAGAAAGAATAAAATAAATCTATTAGACTTTCAATTTGAGAAGTTAGGAAAAGGAAGAGAAGGCCCAAGCAAGATGGTAGAGCAGGTAAGGGCATCTGCAGCCCGATGACCCAAGTTTGACCCCTGGGACCCACACGGTGAAAGGAGAAAACCCATTTCTACAGCAATCCTCTGACCTCCACATGCATCTCCTCAGGTAAATTTAATAAATAAAAGGAAAAACAAAAAGAAAGTAAAACAGAAGGAAAATGTTAAAGAAAAAGGATGAGAAACTAAATGTAGGAAAACATCGGAAGGACGTAAGAGAATATGAAAGCAATATAACTGATTATTATAGCTCTTTACCTGGTTCTAAAAGGTATAATAGTAAATTATATCTTGTGTGCTGGTACTACATATTTATAATACAACGTATCATGATATCTTACACAGCACAGGGCCGTGCACTGGGGCTTGTCACCACTCTGTCTTAAGCACACTTCTGACCTGCTTGAAGACATGAGAAATGTTTTCTACTAAAAGAGACTTAGCATCGTCTTTCTAATAAAGCATGTTGAATTAGAGCAAGAAGGATACCAACACAGTCAGATCACATGTCATTGCAACCTCCATAATTCGTTCTCAAGTAGAATGTCATGGTAGCACATAATGTTCCCAGACACATCTGTGGCATGTCATACCACCTGCACATCGCTCTGTTGTCCGTGGAAAACTCTGGAAGCCTCACACGAGTGTGCGTTTGCAGGCGCTGCAGCACTCAGTGGCTGAGGCAGAAGGTCCAGCAGCTTTGCTCACACGTTCCTGGTTTGCATGTAGGTCTGATGCCCGTCTTCATAAAGACGACACTGACATCTGTTTCAGTAAAACACTCAATTCCTGCAAAGTGCCGCAGATCCGCTACGCGAGCGTGGAGCGCCTCTTGGAGCGGTTGACGGACTTGCGGTTTCTGAGCATTGACTTCCTCAACACCTTTCTACACACCTACCGCATTTTCACCACGGCCGCTGTGGTGCTGGCGAAGCTCTCCGACATCTACAAGAGGCCTTTCACCTCCATCCCAGTCAGGTACTGCAGCATTGCCGATGCCCCTAAGCTGTTGGCTCACCTTTGACCTTATTGCGTCAGAGGAAGTTAAGTAAAAGGTCTTAGAGTTCCCCAGGGAAGATATGGAGAAGTCGGAAGTCTCCAAGTGACTCCATTGATTACTCTATGATGATTTGGAAGCTGACACATTTATTTTAACATCATCATTATTTATTATGATTGGTGTTATGTTCTTGTTGTTGGGAAGCTCCACCCAGCCCCACTCCTCCCATTCCGAGAAAGCTGGCCATAGGTTGATCCTCCGCTGGAACTGCTCAAGATCTCCTACAGGCTTTTAGACCAGGCCCATAGATCTGCCAGGTACTCTCGTGCTCGCTCTCCTGCCTTCCTGAAAGTCACCCAGGAGCTGCTTCGCTCTGCTCCTCTTATTAAATTTGAATTATTAATTTGGTTTGATTTGGCTTGTTGCTTCAATGCAGGAACCCACTAACCGGGTCTCCAATACCTACCATTTGGTGCGGAAACGCTCTTAGGCATCAGTGCACCTCTGGGTTATCTGAGAAAGGGATATTTCATTGACCCAGTAACTGCGGAGCAGACCTCAGTTTGGCATGCTTAACAAGACTCCCAAAGATGGGAGTCTCTACTTTAAGGCTTTACTGCGCCTCAGTGGCAAGGCTTTGGAGAGCCTGGACAGTATCTGTGTTCCCCTAGCAAGGGCAAGTGCACCTTTAGCGTTTAGATTACGGAGAATCCAGTGGACATACAATGCTGTCAAGGTCTTCAAATGTAGATGAGCTGAGAGTATGTTCTTGTGTGATATCTGAGACAGGTCTTCCTTTGGCTACAATCCTTTAACAGCCTTCGCTCTTCATTTTAGATCATTAGAGTTATTTTTTGCCGCGAGCCCAAACAACAGAGGTGAACATATGGTAGACGGAAAATCCCCACGTCTGTGCCGCAAGTTCTCCTCCCCACCGCCCCTTGCTGTGTCTAGAACATCCTCACCAGTGAGGGCCAGAAAGCTATCCTTGACATCTTCCTTGAACTCAAGGATCGGAGCCTTGGACCTGACCACATCTTCATCTTCTAGCAGTCCTACCTCCCACAGTCCCACTGCATCCCCGCCACCTCACACCGGTAAGGACCACTGGATCTTAGCAGGGGCCCTCTGCTCCTGAGCAAAGTGCAGGGGCTATGGGAGGGAACACAGAGGGACACCTTGGGGATCTGTGCAGCAGGCCCGGATGAAGTCTGCAAAGTGTCTTCTCCAGCACATTGCTATGATCACACCCCACGCTTGCAACTGCCTGGTTTCCCGCCGTTCCTTCTGGAAGGCGCAGCTTACTTGTTTGTTTGTCTGGGGGCAGTTTTCTCATTTCTGCGTACAAAGAATGGCTGCAGTGCCAGTTGAATAAAGAGCATCCTTGCATATTCCTGCCCTGCAGTCACAGTGAGCTGCTTGTTGTCCCCATTCAAAGGCTAGTTGTGTCTAGCCATCAGTAGAGGACTGATACATTAAGATCATAATGTTCTTGGATGTTGGTAAAGCTGGATTAGCTAGAGTCTACTAGGATACTTCCAGGTTAGGCTATCCTCATGAGCAAAGGGTTAGGAGGGACAGGTCCTTCATGTAGACAACAAAGCAGGAGCAAACTGGGAACCCAATCGATTAGATAAGGGGTGTCCAAGGCTTATCTTTTATACAAAGTATCCTAGTAGACTGCTTGCTTGAAGTGTCTATGTGCTGACACCCTCAGACAATTTAAATAAGCTTGCTGGGTGAAGCACTTAATGGAATTTCAACTGGAGTGCTTGTCAGCATCCAAAGTGGCATCTTTAAAAAAAAAATAGAAATTCTTTAAATTGACAAGTGAGCAATTAAGAAGGAAGAAAGGGGAAGATAATTAAAAAGTCATTAAAACAACAAGCTTGGCAAAATCATGGCGAATTCTTGGAAATAATGAGGCCGGACTAGCTGGCAGATGTAACTGGGCTCTACCCAGCACCAGTGTCTGATCGCCTCCCTGGAGGGAGGGACTTGAACTTATCGCAACCCTCCCCGGGGCTGAAGTGGACTGGGCAGTCCAGGAAGACCCCAGGGTGTGGTGGGCTCTTTCCCCTCTGCTACTGGACCACAGGGAAGAAAAATAGAAAACTCTACTCTCATCTTCTTTGGAATCAGGAGCAATTTAGGAGCAAGGATTTTGGCGTCAGCTCTTCATGGCTCCCAGAGCATCCTTTGGTTGATCTGAGGGCTGGCATGAGGTCTTCTGCCCTACGTGTGATCAGGCTTAGTCTGGAGACTGAGCAGATGCTCTGTGAGTTCCCGTGGCTAAAACAGTTGCATGGGGAAAATAGGATGGCGCCCACTCTGATTATTTGGGCGCAAGACCTGCGACTGTAAGGGCAGGTGGCATGAAGGTGGAGACAAGAGCATGAAGCTGAAACGTAGGGGAGACTGTGCCTTGCTGAGCATAATCAGGGGGTGTCTTTGATAGGAGCCAAGAGAGCCCCATGACTTGAGGGAGGAGGCAGGCCACATTCTGGGTAATGAGACAGTTTAGACAGCTGTGGGTGAGCACACCTTGGAATGATCGTCCTTCCTGGGGCACAGCTGCTCACGAGCAGCTTTCCATGCCTAGACGCCATGGGTTCTATAAGCAGAGCTTCCTGGTTTTCCTAGGACACCCAAACACTGTGGCAAATTAAAACAAAAGTCCTCCTAATGTTGTCTTCCTCCTTCAGTTCTTTTACTATCACAGTGATTTTTAAGTTAAGGAAAGTGAGCAACAGATCACTAGAACCTTTCCTCTTGGTCAGGAAACCCCAACTGTTGGACAATACCTCACCCCACCAGCTGCTGGCAAGCACCGCTCTGGGTTCTGTTTGTGAGTCTTTGGAAGTGGAATTACACTGCTTGTTTTGTGACTGACTTACTTCATTTATCGTAACAGCCTTGAGCTTCTACCCATGTTACCTGTCATAGGATTTCCTTAATTTTTCAGGAAAATAATATTCCACTGTATGCATATAACATTTTTTTTTTGCCATTTTCCCCTCAGTTGATGTCTGAGTTCTACATCTTCTACATCTTGGCTACTGTGAACAGTGCAATGAACAGGAGTGCAGATATCTCTTCGAGATCCTAATCTCAGACCTGGAAAACACCCCCCCACACACACACAGACACACACATGAACACACACACGTAACACGAGTGGGCTTGTTGGGACACATGTTAATTCTATTATTAAATTTTGGAGAAATATGCGTGGTGAATTCAAATTCCCAGGAGTGCAAAAACGTTCCACCAGCACTTGGCTAGCTTTTATTTTATTTTGAAATAGATATCATTCTAATAGCTATGATGTAAGAAACATTATTTTTTAAAAAAATTTCAAAAACATTTTAATGTCACTAAAGCCTACCATTATGGATATGAATGTTCCTTTACTATCAGAAAAACAAGACCTCTTTTTTTCTTTATAATAGTCTAAATGCATGCTTTCATCCCAGTGGCTCCCATCACACTGCACACCACCCCTGTGATTGGATGATCTATATATTACAATGTACACCACCCCTGTGCTTGAATGACCCCTATCACACTGCACATCACCCCTGTGATTGGATGATTTATATATTACAATGTACAGCACCCCTGTGATTGGATGATCTGTATATTATACTGCACACCACCCCTGTGATTAGATGATCTATATATTATACTGCACACCACCCCAATGATTAGGTGATCTATATATTATACTGCACATCACCCCTGTGATTGGATGATTTATATATTACAATGTACAGCACCCCTGTGATTGGATGATCTATATATTACACTGCACATTACCCCTGTGATTGGATGATCTGTATTACACTGCACACCACCCTCCTGTGTTTAGATGATCTGTATAGCTTGTTGTGCTGAGAACACAGCACTTTGGTTACTGCATTCATTAGTTATGATCTTTAAGCCCAAGCCCAGAGTGCATATCATTGATCTAGGATGCTTGGGACCCTATTTAGGATGGAGTAGAGATAAAAAGCTTTTTTTAATTGGAGCAGTAAGTTAGAAGACAGTTCAATGTAGGGTCTAATCTGTTTGGGGCTGTTATAGCATCTGAAACTGTGTAATTCATAATCAACAGAAGTTTATTTTTTAGAGATTCCGGAGGGTAAGAAGTCCAGGGGAAGGCAGGAGTGTGAGAGCAGCTCTTTCTTGCTCTCTAGAGGGGTAGAAGACCTCACATGACAAGAGACACGGTCAGAGGATGGAAGCTGAATTCATTCTTCTAGAATGAACATCCTCTTTCCAAATAGCATAAAGTTTTTATGAGGGCAGAGCTTTTGTTACTTAATCATCCTTGGAGGTCCCATTTCTCAGCCCGATTGGGCCAAGGACTAATCTTCTAACATGGTCTGGAAGATTCAAATAGCGTGCAGAGATTCTGATAAGTGAGAAGCGTAGATCAAGCTCCCAGGAGATGCTCTTTGACTGCTTCAAAGCTTTCCCGTGTGGCAACCTTGGCTGCTCACACCCTGAGGCTGGCAGGTGGCGAGGACAAAGGGGCTCATTCCCACAGTCCAGAATTAGCATAAGTGAAGGCAGAAGGCCTCTTTCCTTCCGGGTTTGTCTCAAATGACTGCATCCGAAGAGCTGGTTTCTCTGGGTGGTAGGAGTCTGGAAGAACGTTTTGCTGTTTCAGCTTCTTGTGTGCTGTTCCTCTCCCATTCCGAGTGGTGCAGAAAGCCCAAGATGTGTGGTTGATGAGTTTGTCAAGGCAAGGTTCTACTCTAGAAACGCCAGTTCCTCTGCTCGGGCATTTCCCAGAGGGAGCGCCTGCTAACACAGCCCCTTTAGCTCTTAGCACCCTGAAACCATCACCTTGACCCTTCCAATAAGCATTTCTGACGTTTCAAGTTCCTTCCCCTCTCTATTGCTGCTTCTAATTCCTTTTCACACTTATATTTCTTACTTCATCCCTAAAAGTATTTAAGATAGTAGTCAAACAGACACATGGCCAGGCACATCCAGATTAAAAATAAAATAGATAAAGATATCAGGTGATGGGGGAAGGGTGAAAAGTTACCTGAGGATAAAGGTAATATGGTCTACAGTGTGGTCCTCTGAGCCCTGGAGTCCCCTGAATTTGCTTCAGAGTTTCGTGTTTGACAGAATGGAAGCAGACATGGAAGTAATTATGTGATTCCCATTCAAAACTGAGAACAACTTGTCTCTAAAAGTTCCTCTTTCCTGGTCACTGGGACTTGAAGAACGAACCCTCACAGTAAAAGGCTTAGAATTAAAACTGGTGTCATGGTGGTTCCGTGACATTTTCCTGAATAGATAAGACTAATCAATTATAGACTTTTTTAATTTTGCATTAGTATATGGGCGACATTGGTCATGAGTTGCTTTATAGAAGATGTAACTGAACACCAAGGCATCAGCCTGACAATCCAGAGTGTATATGGAGATGCATGCTTGTGCATGAGTGTGCATAGACGCGTGTGTATATGGAGATGCGTGCTTGTGCATGAGTGTGCATAGACGCGTGTGTATATGGAGATGCGTGCTTGTGCATGAGTGTGCATAGACGCATGTGACATCTGTGTAAGTCAGCCTGCGGCTCTGTTCCTCTTGCTGTCCCATCTTAAATATTCCAAATGGCAGGGAAATAGAAGATGTGGATCTATCTTTAATTTGACAGATGTTTGCATGTGCTTTGCATAGCATTAAGAGTCAAAACAGCTGGCAAACTCCAGTACCAAGAGTGGCTACAATTTTACTTTCCACTTCAAAACCCAGTCCCACAGTCTCACGGTGTAACATCAGCTCACGGTGGCCATAGGCAACGTAGGCCTCTCTTACTGCCATCCACAGTTTTAGGGGAAATTCATTGAAATCTGCCAACAACCATTGCTGAACTTCATTGTTACCACAATGATAATGCCAGCTTTGTAATATCTCAAGAAAATGGCAAATGGCATGAAGATAAAGAAGAGAAATTGAAAATATCCTTCAAAATAAGCAGGGTGGTATATTTTTAGAGATAAATAATTTAATCATCCCACAACCTAGCCCCCAAATCATCCTAGGCTCATCCAATAGCCACTGTTCTTCCTGTTCTTCTACTAGGCCACCCCTACTTTGTTCTATCCCCAGATGTTTCTAAACAACACCTGAAACTTTCTCAATGAAAACCAAGCCCATGGCAGGCAAGGCCGGAATGAAGAGCCCCGTGGCCGCCAGTGCAACTGTAGTCCCTTACCTAAATCTCTTCGACCACGATTATGCAATTTAGTCACCCAAGTGTGCTTGCTCAGCCCACAGCCACAGTGTCTGTTTCTGTCTTCTCCGTTTGAAAATTGCCTCTCTGTGGGCTGAACGTGCTCCCGATTTTAGCATTTGTTTTGAGCCCACATCTGCCCACTTGTCCTGTGGGCACAGCACTCGGTTGAAAGTGAGCACACCAAAGAAAGCGCGTCCCCATGGCGTGGCTTCTTCTGTCGGTGTGTGTTGGCTTGTTCTGTGAGCTTGTTCCTGCTCTTTCAGGACACTGTGGTCCTATCAAGTTCTCTCAGTCAAATTTTTTAAAATAAAATTTGATGTATTGCGGATTAAAGTTTTCTTCCTCGCCTCCAATGAATGAACGTGTGTCTGAACGGAACCAAGGCTGTGCATTTGATATTCTGCTCTGCCTTGCACAACAGATGCTTCCCATTACTGAACTGTGAAGGCGCTATTTAGAAAATAAGAAAACTAACAGCTAAGCACTGCTGTTTTTTTTTTATATGCATCTTGCCAGCTTTACTGTCATTGTGTCATTCAAGAAAAGATTCTAACCACTTCCTTTCTGCAGCCCTATTGCGTTTCAAGAGATCAAAATCATGGAAGTATTTCTAAGGGAGCAAATAAGATAGACGCAAGTTTAAAAATAGCTTTACATGAAATCATTATGAGTTCTGGAATATTTGTTGGGTAAAACCTTGAATGAAAGGCAAAGGGAAGCAGCCTAGCAGACCAAGATAACACACAGTTAGTGGAAATGGCGATGAAATTTAATCAATGGGAGTCAATTGAGGACCTGATTAAAAGCAAAGAAGGGTCTGTTAAACATAAATTAATTTTTTCTACTATTCTTCCTTTGGAATAGTAAATGTTACTGTTTTGCCTGTATAAGAAGCTGAGGGGTGGCATCTAGAGTCACCGTCCCAATAGCCCTGTTAATGGTCCAGAAAGACAAGTCTCATTCTTGGGATATCAGCTGTCATACAGAGATTCAGATCATCTTAAACTCTCCACAGTTCATTGAAGAAATTTTATCTGGGTTGTAGTCTAGAGGCTAAGTTTTCACGAAACCTGTCAGAAAAAAATTTCACTTGCTTCCTTCCTAGTGGTGTGTAGCTCTCCACAGAGCTAGTCAATACACCTTTCCAGGAAGGGAGAGGATTGCTGTATAGCTGTATTGGCCACAGATATAGTTACCGGCCATTGGTGGCTACTGAGCCTTGCCATGACTAGTGCTAGTGGGGAGTTAAAATAGGTCTTCAATTTTAGATCATATAAATTGTCATTCAGCCATGTTTGGTTATTGCTACCACGCTGGGGGATGCATCTCTAGATCTAAAGGAACCCCCTCCCGCCTAGAGCTTCCTTAAGGTGCAACCTAGACAAAGAAGAAATCATACTGTTGATTCCAATTTATTTTCTAATCTGAAAAGGTTCGTTTTTCTCTGTTCCAAGAAACAGTCATTATGAAAGGCAGGAGATCCATTTCATAGTTCCTGTTCTTTTTAACATCCAGTTGCACTGGATTGAGAGGCTGGCCAAGGTCAGCCCGCAGTTTCAACAAGACAGTAGATCTTAAGCCTAGCTTGTGGAGATCTGGATTTCAATGACGTTCTTAAAGTTCTGCTGAGATGAATGACTTGCCTTCACAAGCAAGCACTTTTAATGTGTAAACCAACATGAAATGCTTATTATTGGTACAGTATTGCCAATGTACTCTCGAACTCACAGCCTGGGTAATGTTGTGTTTTCCAGCAGCCGTCCTGGACTCTGCACCAGCTGACCGAGCAGGAGACTCCACAGAACTGTCACCTTGCAGATCCCCCTCCACTCCCCGGCACCTCCGATATCGCCAGCCTGGAGGTAAGGGCTCAAACACAGATTCAGAAACAGGAAAGGCATCTTGGGCTTTAGATCAGTGCATTGCTTAGTCTTGGTTATAAAGACTAACTAGAAGCAGGTAAGGCTGCATGGGTTCAAGGAGTGGATGTAACGATGATTAGGGAGCCTACCTTCCGTCTGGCGAGTATTGCTGAGCCTATGTTGTGCTGTGAACTGAGCAGAAAACACGATGAAATATGTGTCCTCAGGGATGGCTAGTTGAGGGAGCAGCTTCTTTACCCTGAGCCCCAGTGTAAGCTGTATAAGCAGACTTGAGGGACCCTTATTTGAAATTCTTATTTCATATAAAATAAAGTTAAGTTGAATGGGATCCAATTATTATTATTAGTGGTAGAACCTGATCATTTTTTTCAGTATACAGTTATAAAAATTATGACAAATGATTCCATATTTTGTTTCGAAATACAACAAATATCTGTGAATTAGAAGAGAAACGACTCAAAAAGCAGAAATATTTTACCACCCTATTTTCTGTCCTTACTGCTCAAATAATTATATCGAAATCAGGGTTGCTTTGAAATGTCTCCTTCTCCTGGCCCCTTCCAGAGCGGATTATATCAAGCCAGAAGAGAAATTTATGAAACCAGATTCGCTCCAAATAAGCCAAGCAAAACACAGGTCGTTATTTTGTCTCTTACCCTCAGGGCTTCGTCTAGGGCAAGTCAGAAAAGCTGAAAGCGCATGTCTCCAGGAGGCTACTGCTCTTGTGGCCCCAGCCACTCTACAGAGGCTGTCATTTTCAGCCTTTGTCTCTGAGAGCCACAAGAAAAGGATGGGGTAGGCTCTGGCCACATCTTAGTCCCTGGGGGGATTTGTGGCCATTTGGGTAGTCCTGGCAAATGAAGGCAGCCTTCTAGGCTTTCCTATCTTGTCACATGACTCCAGTGGAAGCAGTTCAGTCTCTCACTATTGCTAATGCCCTGGCCAGTGCAGGACCTGGCACCGGCCTTGGTAAGTGTCACATGGGCTTCCTTAGGTTCATTGCCTCCCGGAAGAAACTGTAATCAAGGCCCATGGGAGACTGGCAAGAGTTAAATACTGCTAGCCCTGTTACTATGAGAGCTTTGTTCTGTAGTTTTACATTCATATGTGTCTTCACACTAAAATTTTAATGTATGTAAAGATTTATTGTTTTTTACCTATCATAAAGATTTGAGAACACAGGGAGTAGCCTAAAACTTGGGATAAAATAGTGGCTACAAATAGTAGAATGTCACATATTTTCTTAGTGTCTAGCCAATATTCTGCTTGTTCACCAAGATATTTATGACTTCATGTTCGGGAATATTATGAAACTTTTTGCTTCAGCTACATATCTACCCATTCATCCAATCCATTAATAGCTTCTACATTGATCTATCCATCTATCCTACATATCATCTAATCTGTCTGTCTGTCGTCTGTTGTCTATATACCAATCATCTATCCGTCCACCTCATTTACTAACCATCTAGTCACTTATTTATGCACATTAAAATTCAGAAGCAGATCACACCATTTTTACTAAAAGCCTGAGAGGGAACGGTGGCGTTGGAACTGCAATAGCGTTAGAAATCTACGTGACTATTATAGGCTGAGAAGTGAAAGATGCTGCAGGGGCTGCTTATTACAGCCTTTCAGTTCGAAAAATTAAATGGTTGAAATTACACTTATTTATTTACAGGGTAGCACACATATATGTGCCATGGCATGCATGTGGTCATCAGAGGACAACCCACAGGAGCTGGCTTTGCCACTGCCATGTGGGTCCTTGGGGACTGAACTCAGATTCAGATTAACAGACTTGGCAGCAAGCATCTTTGAGAAAGGATGTGTGTGTGTTTGTTGTAGTATGGTGTGTGTGTAGTGTGGTATATGTGTATGGTGTGTATATGCTGTGGTGTGCATGTCTGTGTGTGTGATGTGTGTGTGTGTGGTGTGTGTGTGTGTGTGTGTGTGTGTGTGTGTATGTATACAGCCTGTGCATGCATACGTGGAGGCTAAAGGTGGATATCAGGTATCTTTCTCTATCCCTCTCCACCTTTTCCTTTGAGTTAGGGCCTCTTGCTGACCTAAAGTTCACAATTCACTGGACTGGATGACCACGTAGTTCTAGGGCTCTGCTGGTCCCCATCTCTCAGCACTGGGATTCCAGGTGTGGCTGCCAGGCTGGCTTCTGTGAGTGGTGCAGATCTTAACTCCACTCATGATGCTAATGTAGTAAGCACTTTACCCACTGAGACAGGCCAGCCCTGCATCCTTTCAGTTTTAGATGGGATACACTTAATTCATCCTTACGGTGGGATGGGACCAAACCAAAGGCCTCACACATGCTTAACAAGCATCCCGCCATTAACTGATGAAGAACTTGTCCTGAAAGCATGATGGAGAGTCTTAAAATAGTCTCATTTTGAAATATAATTCATATACTACAAAATTTCTCCTTCTTTTCAAAGTATGTAGTTCATTGGATTTTACATATTCAAAAGGCCAGGCAGCCATAACCACAGTTCAATTTTAGAACATTTTCAATACTCTAGAAGAAATCCTGTAGTCATCAACGAACTCTCCCACTTGTATCTGCCCTGGTAACTGCTGTCTATGATCTCTAGGTGTGGATTCATTATAGACTTCTACAAAAAGAGAAGCATTCAGTGGGGGACCTTTATAATTGGCCTTTTCATCTATCGTAGTGCTTTTTGGACTCATCCATTAAATAGTATGTGTCAAAAATTAATTCCTTTCTATGATGGAATCATATTATCTTTTAAAAATCTATTTTTTTTCAGCTGATGGACATTTGGGTGTTTCTAGTTTTGGCAGTGTGAGGCTGCTTCTGTGAATATGATGTTTTTGCATGGATATGTGATTTTTTTTTTGTTATGTGCCTAGAATGGAATTGCTGGTGTGTAATCTCATGATTTGCCTATTAGCAGGGATGTCATGGGGTCTTTTGCTCAGCCCTTCATCCAGGACCAGTATTAAAATGAGAATATTCACTGCAGAATATTATCTGTGTGCTTCACCATCTGTTTCCTTTTTCTTTAAATAACCAGGACAGGCAGCCGACAGCCCCCACTGCTCTGTTTCCCCTGCTTCTGCGTTTGCAATTGCCACGGCTGCAGCAGGACACGGGAGTCCACCAGGTGAGTCCACTGACTGAAGCAAGTGCTAGAGTCCACTGAACCAGGGGCATTTGATGCCAGGGACTTGATGATTGAGAATAGGGAATCCTGTCTTTTGCAATCCTGGGGAATGAACCTCGAGGATGTTATATTAAATAAAATAAGCCAGGTACAAGAAGATAAACACTGCATGATGTCAAATACGATCTAAAACAACTGAGCTCCTGGAGTCAGAAAACAGAGTGGAATGCACTAGGGACCAGGGTAAAGCACGGGGAGAATGGGAGACACTAGTTACAACGGTTCAGCTACATAGGAAGATAAGTTCCGTGAGCTACTGGCGACAGTAGTTATGACAATAATGCCATATCAATACTTGAAAATCTTGAGGGCATATCTTAAGTGTTGTTATATCAAAAAGTGAGTAACAGATAATAATAAATAACTTGGTTTAATCACTCTATTACGTACATATATACATACACACATTTATATGCATCATGTCATGCCTAAAGACATCAATAAAAATGATAAACTAAAAATAAAAATATGCGGTACAATAAAAATGCGTCCCATCGGGTGAGCCTCACATGGGAGGTATTTTGGTCAGGCTTCTGAAGAACTGTGTCTGAGAAGGGTGTGTCACCATTCCAGTGTCGTTTTATGCTTCTCTTCAGCCTCTGTGCTGCACGGCTAAGACATGCATCCTCCTGCAGGGTATGAAGTGTCATTTTATGCTCTTCTTCAGCCTCTGTGCTGCATGGCTAAGACATGCGTCCTCCCGCAGGGTATGAAGCATGAACTAGATTTAGGAGGCTTGTAGAGTGGGAGCCTCAGGTCACCTGACTGATCCAGGATTCCTTCTGAATGGCTGCCAGGAGGGTCTCAGGGCAAAGAAAATACAGTAAATATAATCAAAATAAAGACCTAGTAGGTGAAAACTACGTTTATTATTGATGCCTTTCCCTCACAGACAGAGAGCATGATATTAACATAAATCTGTGATTGATTTCAGGAGACCCATTGTTGCGTCTTTGTGTAATCTCTTTGTCATACTTTAAAAATATTTTTATTCTTCTCTCATATATTACATCCAGACCATATCAATACTTGAAAATCTTGAGGGCATATCTTAAATATCGTTATATCAAAAAGTGAATAACAGATATTCCCTTCCCTTTCCCCAGTCTCTCCCCCCTTCTTCTCCATTTTCCCTCTCCCCCAGATCCATCCCCTCCCCTTTCCCCCTCAGAAAAGAGCAGGCCTCCCAGGGACATCCACCAGACATGGCATAACAAGCTACAGTAAGTCTAAGCACATACCATCACATCAAGGCTGGGCAAGGCGACCCAGTAGGAGAAGAAGGATCCTACAAGCAGGCAAAAGAGTTAGAGACAGCTTCCACTCCAAACGTTAAGAATATCACAGACACACCAAGCTACTTAGGCACAGAATATATGCTGGACCTAGTCCGGAGCCCTACAGGCTCCCTGATTTCTGCAAGTCCCTGGAGTCCTGGTCAGTTGCTGCTGTGGATCTTGTGGTGTCCCCATCCTTCTAGTTTCTCTGATCCTTCCTCCCCTCCTCCACAGAACTCCCCAGTTTCTGCCTGTGGCTCTTTTCATCTGCTTCCATTAGTTGCTGGATGAAGTCTTTCTGGTCTCTTTGATGAGGATTCTGCTAGACTCTGGCCTCAGAACCCTCTGCGGGCAGGATGAACTGTAGGTCAAGGTTTTGTGGCTGGATTAGTATCCAAGTCCCTCTACTTGAGGCCTTACATGGTTACAGAAGATGGACAGATCAGGCTCCAAGTCCCCCATTACTAGGAGTCTTTGCTAGGGTTGTTCTCATAGATTCTGTGGACTTTCTGTTGTACTAGATTTCCACCTCACCCCCAAGTGTCCCCCGATTTCAGTCATTTCTCCCAGTATTTTCCCCCGCCATCCCCACCCTGATCCTTCCTGTTCCTACCCCTACCCTCTTCTAGTCTACCTGAGAAATCTTTTCTATTTCCCCTTCCCATGGAGATCCTTGAAACCCTTCATAAGACCTCCTTGTTTCTTGTCATCTCTGGATCTGTGGGTCTTAGCATGATTATCTTTTACTTTACAGCTAATATTTAACCTATAAGTGGATACATATCATGTTTGTCTTTCTGAACCTGGGTTACCTCACTCAGGATGATTTTTTTCTAGCTCCATCCATTTGCCTGGAAATTTCATGATGTCTTTATTTTTAACAGCTGATTAGTACTCCATTGTGTAAATGTATTACATTTTCTTTATCTATTCTTGAGTTGACGGACAATCTAGGTGTTTCCAGATTCTGGATGTTATAAATAAAGCTGCTATGAACACAGTTGAGCAAGTATCCTTGTGATAGGATGGCACATCCTTTGGGTATATACCCAGGAGTGGAACAGCTGGGTCTTGAGGATTCCCAATTTCTGAGAAATCACCATATTGATTTCCAAAGTAGCTATACAAGTTTTTACTCCCACCAGCAAGGGAGGAGTGTTCCTGTTACTCCACATCCTCTCCAACATTAGCTGCCATTAGTGTTTTTGTTCATAGCCATTCCGACAGGTGTAGGAGTCATTTTGATTTGCATTACCTTAATGGCTAAGGATGTTGAACATTTCTTTAAGTGTTTCTCGGCCATTGGAGATTTCTCTGTTTAGATCTGTATTTGTGGCTATTGTGAAAAGTGTTGTTTCCCTGATTTCTTTCTCATTCTATTTGTCATTTGTATATAGGAGGGCTATTGATTTTTGTGAGTTAATCTTGTATCTTGCCACTTTGCTGAATGTGTTTACCAACTATAGGAGTTGCCTAGTAGAATTTTTGGAATCACATATGTATAATATATCATCTGTGACTAGTGATACTTTGAATTTTTCCTTTCCAATTTATATTCTTTTGATCTCTTTTAGTTGTCTTGCTGCTCTAGCTAACTTCAAGTATTATATTGTATATGTATGGAGAGAGTGAACAACCTTGTCTTATTACTGGTTTTAGTGCAATTTCTATGAGTTTCTTTCCAATTAATCTGATGTTGGCTATAGGCTTGCAGTATATTGCCTTTAATATGTTTAGGTATGTCCCTTGTATCTCTGATCTCTCCAAGACTTTTTATCATGAAGTGTCGTGGGTGATGTCAAAGGATTTTCAGCATCTCATGAGATGATGAAGTGGGTTTTTTCTTTCAGTTTGTGCAACAGATTTTTATATGTTGAACCATACCAGCACTCTGGTATGAAGCCCACTTGATCATGGTAGATGATCTTTTTGGTGTGCTCTTGGATTTAGTTTGCGAGTATTTTATTGAGTTTTTTGCATCAATGTTTATGAGAGAAATTGGTCTGTAATTCTCTTTCTTTGTTGAATCTTTGTGTGTTTTGGGTAACAGGGTGGCTGTGGCCTCACAAAATGAATTCACAACAGAAGGCAGTGGTCCTTCTGTTTCTATTTTGTGGAGTAATTTCAGGGGGTTTGGTATTAACTCTTTTCTGGAAGTCTGGTAGAATTCTGTGCTAAAACTATCTGATCCTAAACTTTTTGGAGTTGAGACATTTTAAACAGTGTTTTTATTTCCTTAGGGGTTCTAGGTCTATTTAAATTGTTTATCTGATCTTGACTAAACTTTGTCAGGAGCCATTTCAGGCTTCTCCTTTCTCACAGGGCCTTGAATTAAAAACCTTGAGACAAAAAACTTAAAGTTAACTGATAGTGTGTGCTAATCTTAGAGACTCAAGGTCCAAAAAGCACCACAGAGTACCCTCATTATTCCTTGTTTATCGCGAACAGCACCACTGACCTTGCAACTGCTTCGCTTAGCTGCCGAGCTGCCAAGTCCCTCCTTCCCTTCCCCCTTCCCCCTTTTTCCTTCTCCCTTCCCCAATTCCCCCTGCCCGAGTTCCTCACTGAGGAGTATATAAGACAAAAAGCTTGCTTCAATAAATGAAGACCTTGACAAATTGAGAACAGAATCCTGTTTTGCTTTTTTTGTTCTAGAACGTTCACATGTATTGTTAAGTTGCTAGTAGGAGATCTCTCCAATTTTTTTATGAAGGCACTTAGTGCTATGAACTTTCCTCTTAGCACCTCTTTCATTGTGTCCATGCTGTTGAATATGATGTGTATTCATTTTCATTAAGTTCTAGAAAGGCTTTACTTTCTTTATTTCTACCTTGACACAATAGGGATGTGTTTAGTTTCTAAGATTTTGTAGGTTTTCTGTTATTTCTGTTGTTGATATCCAGCTTTAATTTGTAGTAGTCTGATAGGATACAAGGGGTTATTTTTATTTTTATTCCATTTATTTGTTTCCATTATTTCCATTTATGTTTAAAAACCACTTATGAGTGAGTGCATATGATATTTGTCTTTCTGGGTATATTTTACCTCATTCAATATGATGTCTTCTAGATCCATCCATTTGCCTGCAAATTTCAAATGTCATTATTTTTTTCTGCTGTGCAGTACTCCATTGTGTATATTACCACATTTTCCTTATCCATTCTTAAGTTGAGGGGCACTTAGGTTGTTTCCAGGTTCTGGCTATGACAGGCTATGCTGCTATGAACATAGTTGAGCACATGTCTTCATGGCACGGTTGAGCACCCTTTGGGTATATACCCAAAAGTGGTATTGCTGGGTCTTAAGTAAGGTTGTTTTCTGATTTTCTGAGAACTCGCCATACTGATATCCAAATGGGTTGTACCAGCTTACACTCCAGGAGCAATGTAGGAGTGTTCCATTTACCCCACAACCTCTCCAAAATAAGTTGTCGTTAGTGTTTTTGATCTTGGCCATTATTACAGGTATAAAATGGAATCTCAGTCTTGTTTTGATTTGCATTTCTCTGATGACTAAGGATGTTGAACATTTCCTTAAGTGTCTTTCAGCCATTTTAGATTCCTCTGTTGATAGTTCTCTGTTTAGGTCTGTACTCCACTTTTTTATTGAATTATTTGTTCTTTTGAAGACCAATTTCTTGAGTTCTTTGTGTATTTTAGAGAT